AGTGCGCACACTTCACACTTCCACTTCCCATCATCAGCCAGCAAGCTGCCAAATGTTGCAGAAAACCCTTCTGCTGGCAATTCTGATGGCAGCCCAAATGCCATGGTAGTGCCCACATCGGCATCTTTGGATCCTGATTCTTGGAATTCAGTCAATCTGCGTTTTGCGGGAGGCTCTATGACATCGTCGCTGTTTGCTGGCGGCTCTGATGCCAGCTGTGTGGCCTGCAGGTTTTCTGCAAAGCCAAGCAGGGCTGTGTCAACAGTGTCCAGCTTACTGTAAGAAGAGTCCCACGCCAGCTCCACTGTGTGCTGAGCACCACCATCTGCAATCATCACAAACCGCTTCTCCAGCTGTTTGGAGGATAGTCTGTATGGCCTCAACTCATCCTCGGGTTCATCATCAATGTCCACGGGATTTGACACATCTCGTGGTCGGTTCCCAAGTTGATGTGTGAGACCACATCCCCAAACAAACACATCTCCATCCACTGAGCTCGCGAGCATATGATGCCCACCACACCGCAAAGCTCGTATTCTGGGAAGTCCTGTAACTTCTCTAGGTTCTAGCACCGGAGGGTCCTGCATCCAAATCACGGACATTTGTGATGCTGGTCAAAATGCAAGACACGAGAGAATGAAAATTCAACCGTCTCGAGATTGCAATATTTTGCATATATATATATATGTGTGTGTGTGTGTAATATATATATATAAATATACACCTGAGAAAAAGATGCATCTGGAACATCTTTGCCAAGTATTCGAAACAAGAAGGAAGTGACTCTTGTGAGTTCAAACACCGCCCGCCTTCTCCCCAAGACCAAGGCCACTCTCTTCTGCCTTGCCCCACGAGAAAACACGACCATCAGCAAGAGCAGCTGTGCTATGCAATCCACCACCCAGCCAGGACGCTTGCCGCACGCGTCGCACAGCTTTGAGAGTTTGCACTGCCATGCTGGCAAAGCCAAGTCCCACTTGCCCATCACCATTCAGACCACAACCAAATATAGAGCCATCCTTGGCTATGATGAAGGTGCATTCGGCGCTGGCAAAGGCCCCTTCGACGTTGGAGGGTTCTATTCCGGAAGCACTCAAGCACATTTCCTGCGGGTGCAGCAATTTCTTCTTTTCGGTCTTGGGTACCTCTCTGTCTGGCCTCTGCACCACTATCGATGTCCCTGCCGAGAGTGCTTGCTGGAGTTCTGCAACTGTCATTTTGTCGGCATTCTTTTCATTGCCATTGGAATCTAACAATCGCACTACGGCTTCTCCTTTGACCTCACAGCCACCACCCTCACGGGCAGTCAGTCCTTCTAGATCACTGCCAGATAGAACACTTTCAGAAAAGCCGCAGCCAACGTTGTCTAGCAACCCCAACTGCCCAGTGGCATTGGAGCCCCAGGCCAGAACCTTGCGTCCACCAGCTGTTTCCACCAGCGCCACTGTGTGATTGGCACCACTGGCTATGGCAGAACAGCCCTCAACAGCTAAAGCAGGCTCAGAACTCTTCTCCAAGACTTCGGATTCTTGCTTTCTCTTGTGCACAATGCCGATGTAGCCATTGGAGTCCTTGTAGGTTCCCCACAGCCATACACGGCCACGATCATCTAGAGCACAGCTGTGGCAATCTCCGCAAGATACCTTTCGAACTGCTACCCCACTTGGCATGCTCACTTGGTGTGGCTCCACATCTGACGGGCCTCCATCTGAACCGTCAGACGACACTCTTCCCAAAGCACCATCATCGTTGCAGCCCCAGCTGTACAGCCCCCCCGCCAGCAGAAACACAAAGAACATGCATCGCACCGACAGCAATCTCGCAAACATGTTTGCCAACCAGAGCTTTCAACAGAGTAGGCTTTCTGCGTTCCCGCGTGTCATCTCCCAAGCCAAGTTGGTCACATTCGCCACTGCCATGCACAAAGACATCGCCTACGGGGACCTCATCTTCTCGTGCAAAGTCTGGAAGTTCCTCCAGCTTCTTGGTCTCAGAGGGAGCTCCATCAACTCCAAAGGCGCCAACTGTGCCAAAACCAAAAACCGGAGCTGAAGAGCTAGAAGTTGAGCCACCAAACCCAAATGTCAGAGTTCCAACACTCGTTTCCTGTGGTGGAAAGCCAAAGGTGGTGGCACCTGCTGAGAAGCCTGTGCCTGCTGAGAAACCGGTGCCGCTGGGCTGAAAGGTGCTACTTGTGCTTGGCTGAAAGCCGGCAAAGCCGGCGCTTGACGTGGCATCGCCCTGTGCAAATCCGAAAACAACAGGAGCTGTAGATGTTCCAAAGCCACTGCCCCCGGTGCTTGCTGCACCAAAACTGAAGCCAGTGGGTTTCACATCAGTGGGTGATTGAAATTTGGCTACTGCTTCCGCTTGGCATGTCTCCTCCTCAGCCTTCATCTTTGCAATGGCCTCTTCTGAAAGCCCGGGTTGAAAAGCTTCACAGGCCTTGCATTTGATGACCTTCACATCCCACTTGAGTGCGCACACTTCACACTTCCACTTCCCATCATCAGCCAGCAAGCT